AAATTCCTTTGTTGGCTTCAACAATACAAACAGACACTTCAAAAGGGGATAAGGCTGGTTTACAGGTGCCACATCTCTTCTGATGATGGCTGCCCTCTTAAGAAATCTTGCAGATAACCCATCGTCCTCATTCATGGCAGGTGACATACTTCACACGTTACCCTCCCTGGCTGTAAAAGAGAAAATGTAATGCCATGATTGCTACTGATGTTAAGATGTCTCCACACAGCCATTAGAGAATGGTTTGTTTTGTGTGCATAGAGTTATCTGTAAAAGAGTATTTTTATCTGTCTACTGTATCTAATGTTTATCCAAAAGTGGCAAAAAAGTGATTCGTATTGTGTGATAAACAACACATTGGTGGATCTTAAGTTAGAATTTAGTGGCTGAAGTGTTGGATAAAGGTGTGAGTGATGTCAGGATCTATTTATTTAGAAAATAGAAGTGAGAAATATCACTTACAAGCCATAACAAAACAGGACTAATAAGGCAAAAATAAAGGCATTTTGAGGGGAATTCATTTGTAATATTTTAATACAGTAATAATGTCTAGGTCTCTCAGTGGCAGTATGTCAGACTGTTTCTCATGGAATATTTACATTTGGCAAAAATATTTTTACTTTTAATAATCTTCCAATCTGGATGGTCGAATATGTTAAATTTGTTAAAGACATACCGAATCCTAGTAATCTAATCTCAGACAGAAGAACAGATAGACATCAAAGATTGGCTTCAAAGTCAGTTACATAATGAAATGCCCACACACTGCACTTCCCCTCTGTAGTTCAGTTTTGGCCCATCACCTTTGGTTTGTGTGAGGCTATAAACAAGAACAGCTTTGTGAATCACATTCTTTACAGCTACAGTCTGAGCTGTAGTGTTAGGCATTAAAGCAGCTGAGCCTCTCTGATACATCGTCTTTTGAAAAAACGTTTTAAACAGTTGAACACACATAAAACCTCATTAGGTATCAAAACCAGTTTGCATGTTTGTTCCTGGGTTTGTTCTGTTCACAACATCAAAAGGCCTCAGAAAGAGTAAAACAGAAAGCTGGCTGTGACCGAGGTGTGACTTCTGTGGGAGTATTTGCATCGTGTCATTTGAGTGTGGGCCTTTGCACCACTCCACTGTATATATGTCGCTTCAGGCTGCCCCACAACAACATGGCTTTATTGAAATGCATGCAGTGGTCTCTTGAGAATGTCAGGGTGAAACTCAGGACATAAAAAAGAGGCGACTGATTGCAATTAGGCCCATTGTCTCCCATTTATATGGTTATTGGGTGGTGTCTCTTGCAGTCTGGTCGCGTCAAAGTTCTCACAGTCAGGATGCCATCTCACTCACTGGAGCCACCGTAGCCGCCTCTGGCAACTATCTGCTAACAATGTTCATCTCACTTGGGTGACAAAGCTGCTAGGTGGGTCTGGTCTGAAGGGAAGGGCCCATTTCCTTCTGCCAAAAGACAGCGTTGCTGCAGGGCCGGAGTTTCCGTCCATCCTGTGATCTGTTTCATGTTTTGCACTTGTTTACTCCCATTCAGATGGTGTGAAAAGTGTCAAAGGTCGAGGTGTGGAATGAGCTTCTGACAGCCTCCCAGTCACTAAACCAAACCTGAACCTGGCTGGCTCCCAGGAGTTCATATACAACAGAGTCTTCAATGAGTCTTTATTCATTTCCCATCATGAGGCAGGATTTAAATGCCAAAGCATTTTTATGAATGTCTGGGAAAATGAGTATACCCAAGTAATGAGTTTCAGTAGGACAAACTGTGAAAGACGGCTTAAAATATAGTTTGACGTGGGGGTGTGCGGACTATTGAATCCACATGAATGAGAACGGAAGGGTATCACTTTTTGTGGTGCTTCCACTCTGGAGGGGGTGTGTATCAATCTTTCTGTGAGATAATGGGGTTAGATAGCAGTGAGACCTGGCCTCTGGTGGTGACATTGTTGCACGGCTCAAAGACTATCAGGGGTCCAGCGGCTGAGCCGGAGCACTGGTGGGTTCTATTCACATCCCAACCCTAATCTATCTTGAGATCAGGTCTTTCTCTTCAACAAAGCTCCATCTATTTCTTAACTCTCATCGCTGACATTTTTTTCTCCGGTATTATTGTTTCTCCAAAAAGCACAGCTGGCCTCTGCAGTCACTCAAAGAAATCAAATTATTAGTCCAGCTTTATTTTCTTCTTCTTTCGTCCTATGACGAATCCATAGCCTGTGTTTGGGAACTATGGCCTAAATCTATTAGTCTTAATGACTGACAGCATGTTCATATTCTGAGTGTGTGACTCTGATTAGATTTGTCATTCGTTCAGGCATCGGTATTATCTATGATAGGTTGCTACAGTGTCTTCATGATGAGGCACCATCTGCAGACAGACAGTCTTGCAGCTAATTCAATATTCAACATGGTAACTACATGGCTGTGTCTTCTTTGCTAGCTATAGGCTTACCTGCATGATTGTCACTGAAAAGGGTTCCGACTTTGTTGACCGGCCAGAAGAGCGGTCTTCATGCTTCTGTTTTTATGTGAAAGATATTGTATTTTGATGAGATCTTTTTTTGTTTGTTGAGGAACCTGTCTGAGTCAGACATGTTCCTTATCTAAACATCCTATAGTAAAATGTTCTGCTGTCTGAATTATATGCAAAAAAGCTAGTTTTCAATCTCTCACACCTGAGATCTTTCAAGTCTTGAAAATGTTTGATGCACAAAAGTTTACATGGTATTACATGACTTGTTATCATCAAAACAATTATACTCTACTCCTGCCATTGTTACTTATTGCTAATACTACACCATTTAGGGCGCTCCTGGACAAATCATCTTTAGGGTTCTCCCTACCATCACATCACGACAACCGGTTACCGTTACTTTACACTCTTCCAAAGCTACCATTCATAATTCCATTCTAACACAAAATCATCTCAGTAAAGAAATAGTAAACAATGTGTCATTAGACACCTTGTATATTTCATTTTATTTTATCCAGCGATATATAAACTATTAACACATTTCAACAAAACTGGCCAACTGGCGCTTCTAACTAAATGAAACTTGTCAGCATCACTTCCCACAACCCATCACAGATAAATTAAAAAGAAAATAGACTTTTTTATTCATAACCAGCTCGGGCTGTTACACAAAAGTCATGCCTTGGAGAAAATGGACTGAATATCAGGTCCTTTTTTTTTCCTTTTTTTCGTTTAAATGAGTTTGTTTTCATTGTCAAGTGGCTGAATAATGTTTCCTACTTGTTTCACATTGTGCTGTCATCTTTAGATTCATGTGCTACATTTATTGTATTTATTACATGTTGTATGTATTGGTGTTTAGGAGCCTTCCCTCGGGTCAGCCCGTGGAGGTCAGAGGTGACCATTGAAACATCTTTGGCAGTGTTTAATTTTGGCACACAGAATTCACAAAATAATTGCTCACATGTTAAGTTCAGTCATAGATAATAGAACACGTTTGGTTGTTTACGTTGCTTTATTTTGGTGTTACAGAGTTAACTTTAGAAATCTACTACAGGCTGTGAGACAAACAATACCTGTGTGCAGTCAGTGAAAAAACAGATGAGGTAAAAATGCTACAGCGTTACAATTCACAACACTGTTTAAAAAAATGTATTTCTGCAAATATATACTTTTACTCACTAATATGTACATAGCATGAAATAAATAATTATAAAAAAACATCCAATTTTAGAAATCTATAAAAACGCAAACACTAGTTTGTACAAAACTTTGGATTTTAAGACTTGACACAAAATTAGAACATAAGCAAATTGTCCACACAAGCAATCAATCACATATAAAGTGTACAGTAATAAATGCAAGAGAGCAGTTCTCGTACTGATAATGGTTGCTGTGTAATTTATTGAAGATGATTTAAAATGTGAAACTGGTCATGACTGCTCATTAACATTTTCAGTCAGGTTGAAAAATAATTATGAGTGGGAATTTATAGCCTACTGTACATGCCTGAGATATTACATTGGCTGTAAACAATAATTCATCAGTGACTTTACACATCTCTTTATAGTCAAGGCTATCAGTGAAATGGCACACACTTTTTACAAACATTATTATTCTCAGATTTCAGTAGTTTTTCACTTTCCAAATAAATAAATACTGTGTTGTATTTTTATTCAAATTAAGGGAGAGCAACATTAATCATTTTGCCCTGATGTTTAGCATGACTACAAAACCACAGGAAACTAAAATAACATAAACTCTATTTTGGTCTATTTGGTTAAAATGGGATTTACTGTATGCAAGAATTAGTCAAAACTTCACATTTCTTTCCAAACTACATATAATAGATTTCTTTCACAGAAAGAATCAACACATGCTAGAATATACATATAACACAAATGGACAAAGTATGTAAGGACCTAAACCCACAAACTTACACAAACACACACAAATATTATCTTTACTTAGCAGCATTAAAATAAGGGAAGTATTGATAGTTTCAGTGATGCTGCTCATTGTTTAGTTTCGGGAACAAGAAGCCACAGCTGAGAAGCATCTCATGCACAGGTTTTGGTCATCATTTTATCACAACTGCGAATTATACTGCATTATAGAGAGCTTATATGACACACCTTAGTTTGCGTTTTGTTTGCCATTTGTGTTTTATTTTACTCAGGTGAACAGAATTTAACTCTATTTAATCAAATATCATAATAAAGGAATTTCACGTGTGTTTGAATGAAACAAAAATATAGTGGGAATATCCCTTTTATAAATAACAGTTTTCCCCACACCCAGTCACATGAGACATTGCTAATACTGATAAAAACAAGGAGAACATGCTTCATATTTCTCAATGGGACACAAGTGCTGACCTTTCAGATTCATTTGCAGCTCTCTGACCACCGCAGACTAACAGGAGGGGGGGGGGGGGGGTATTTTCTTGTCTTTGGTCATCACTACGATGTTGTTCAATGCATTGTTACTCTTAAGAAAAAGCTTCCAGTGTTTTCAGGTGTGCAGGATGTGTATATTGTTTTGCCGATTTTCAGTTGATGTGGCTCATGTCTACTCTCGAGATAAAATTAGTCATTTAAAGCAGATATTAACTCGTTAGCTTAAGAATTTGAGAACATGTAAACACATTGCAGCATAATAACTACATTCACTCAGGTGCAAGTGCATTCTTACCCAAACATAAGTAACATATTAACACTATAAAGAAACTCAGTCACACAACGATGTTAGTTTTCAGATATACACATACAAACTTAAAATGTTGAGGATGAGAATGCGTGCTGTTGAGTGTCTAATCTTGTAAATTGCTCATAAATGTTGTCACTTTTTGTGACAAAACCAAGTTATGATTACACATTGAAGAAAATGTGACACTTTCACTATTTGCCCCGTAGACTTGAAATCATTGGCAGTGCTGGACTATTCTCAACAAAACTAACTACTTAAAACACAGAAAACAAAAAAATATCACCAATATGGTGTTTGTCAATTAGCCGACTGTACTTTCCTACGTCAAAAAACTCTTTCGTCATCACTACAGATATCAACATTGTTGTCATCATCACCATCTGCACGGCTCATATGGATGAAGCTTTGTGATGTCAACATCTACTCAACCCTTGATCACAGTCCATGGAGTCCATGGACTGTGATCAAGGGTCCATGGACAGGTCGGACAGCTTTACAGTCTCTCATGTCTTGTAGATGAGTTGCTGTATTCGTTCTTCTGCCTAATAAAAGTCTTAAAATTTTGGTGGAAAAGGCGAAAACCAGATGTCTTTATTTGCAGGTGTGCACATCGTAGTCTCTCACACACTCCTGACAGCTGACGTAGCAGCACCAGTGGAAGATACAGTGACACTTCTCCTTTCTCTTCTCAGTCCTGGTGTTGTGTCCTCTGCCGCAACAGAGGAGGTCACACCCGTCTATGCCGTGGGATGTCAGGTTGCAGATGCGATCGCGGGTTCCAAAGGAGCCGGTTTCAGGATTGGGGTCACAGAAATTGGGTGAGCTTTCATAGTAAACCAGGTCGCGCTCTGTGGGTGGTTTGAAGTAGTTGTACTTAGGTCTCAGAGTCTCCACCCATCCGCGGGACTCCTTATGTTTCTCTACCACCATCTCTGATGCACTGTCATATTTATCCTTCATGTAGTCGCCAATTACTCGGAAGTCAGGCTGAGACCACCAGCATGTCTTGACCTCGCAGCTGCCCGACAACCCATGGCACTTACATTTGAGGAACATGTTGTCGTTGAGGGACTGAGAATGAAAAAAAAGCGTGTTGATCAAATATCTGAATGAAGAGAAAACTGCTACAACACAATCAGCAAAAAAAGCTTTTTAAGAGAACTCACCATTCTTCCTGCCTCATTGTTATGGCGGTTCATCGCTGAGCGTGCATCAGGGCGATTCTCCCTCGCATCAGCAAACTCTCGGGACACCATGCTCCCAAACTCCACATCCTCGCTGCAGCCACCCCACTTCCATCCCTCACCAGGGGGGCCCTTGTGGCGTGTGTCACAACCGCAGATGGTGGCTGAACCCTCAGCGCAGGCACGGGTCACTGCAAATGCCACTCCCGCCGAGGCAATAGCATGAACAAATGCTGACTCTCGAGTGGCTGGAAAGAGAAATTCAGATATCTGTAAGACATGGAGCATTGGAAAAATACTTGGAGGCAAGATCCTGCAGTGTGATGTCACGTGAGTAATGTGCTCCTAATGTGCTCCTAATGTGCTCCTAATGTGCTCCTAATGTGCTCCTAATGCTATTTTCAGGATTCAATTTATAGAAAAGTTGTAGCTGTAATTGCTAGGACATGTAGGTCACCGCCTGTTATATGGATATCTGCTTGTGTCAGGTCTTGTATGCTTGTATAGGCAAATATTTTTCAACACAAGCCAACATGAAAACATCAAACAAACTATACATAACTGTAGAGTTGGCTACACATGTTAAAGTTGTATCTACCAAAGTGTGTGTTCATTCAGCGCAGACATCAATCATCCTGTCTCTGAATAAGGACAGCAAGTCCTCTATGCCTCTGTCTGACATAGCTAACTGATGACTCAGAGGGATCAGGATCCTCCAGATAGATGAGAGGAAGAGACGGGCCTGACAGGCCTATAATTAAGGGACTCAATTAAGCTTTTGAAAGGTTAGGAAACTACCTCAGACTCTGGGGACAAATCATAGACACAACATGGAGATGGGACTGTAATGTCCAGATACGCAATCCCGAAAACAGCATTTCACAGTTAGATAAGATGAGACGTTTTCAATGCTTCAACAGAATTCATTATAACAGGGATTTTGCCTTGATTATACTTGTATGGTCTTGCACAATGACAAGAAAAGAGACGGAGAGAACAAGATGAAGAAAATAGAAACACCAGGTGTAAATATGAATTGAACAAACAGAGAGTAAAGAAATCGACACAGGGTTAAAGATCAACAGTGACATTTGGGATTGTGTGCATGTGTGTGTATGTGTGAGATAGATAAAGTGGCAGTGCATGCTTCTCTCTAAAGAACAAGAACAACAGAGGGGAAAGAAAAAAAGAATGAAGGGAGGAGTATAAAGCTAAAGGGAGTAGGAGCTCCTCCCTTACAGCAGGTTCCAACCAGTTTGAGGACTAAAGGGCATTAGGAACAATGATGCAAGGGAAAAGGTCTACTGGCATCCTCCACCACAAGGCCGCCACCACCCACTTCATACTGCTCTTGTACACCCACAAGGTTACTAATGTTCACAATACATCTGAACCTCTGCTCTCCTTGCTGGAGTCCCGCTTACATCCACCACAGATCATTTCACTTGGATATTGTCATATTGTTTTTGCAATCAAGGTAGCTGAGGGCTGTAAGATGTAAACCACAACATTAGCTGTTTTGGTTTCAGCTTAGTTAGATTCTTCTCTGCAATACAAGACTGGATCATCTGCATAGAAATATAGTAGATTTGAGCGTGTCCCAGAATATTTGTCAGTATTTATGAAAAGTGTGAAGATATATGGACCGAAAATAGGACCCCGGGGGACTTCATTGCAAACATGACCTTGTGGATGACAATGATGGCAATGATGCTGCAGAGCAAAAAGGGGTGGAGGAGTTCAAATGGGAGAGGAAAGAGGATTATCTTTAAAATGAGCAAAAGAGAAGGATCAAGGGAAATTCTGTTTGTGATTAGACGAGCTAAACTGAAAAAAAAAAGATTGTGACAGCACCTCTCTCTTTAATAAAGTCTTCAAGTGCCTTGATTTCCAACAAATACAGAGAATATTAACCCCAACAAAATGTAGTCCTTTACATTATATTGTCATTATTTACATAATACAAGACTAGTGTTGATGCAAAAGTGAAAAGATTAACTGCAATCAAGCATATAAGTTTATATGCCAAGCAATGATGCTACTGTCCACAAAACTCCTAAACTCGTATTGGCTGCGCAGAATCGTTCACCAATAAGCTGCAAACCTATATGTTTCAGTCCATAAAATCTGTTGTTTTTATTCTAACCACTCAACCACTAAAAGTGTTTAACACGTGCATACACAGAACATAGATGGTTTATGAGACTCAAAATGTGAACCTGGTGCCAATTTGAAGGCATATTTTGAACCTGGTGTGTTGTTGAAGCATTGTCCCTTAGTATCAAAAAGCCAACTAACATTATACAAACTTTTGGAACTTCTAGGTTATACAGGCGCCGTATACACCTGTAATAACATTTACTTCAACTGGACACACCAGCTCTTACATTAGTTGCTTAGCTTCTCTTGATTTTACGACCAATTTATGGTATTTCAGGACACAATACTCCAACAATGCTCCTCCACCAAACTTTGCCAGACCCTGGCAGGCCAAGTGGTCCCTACAACCTGCTGGGGGGTTGAATCCCCTATTGTGCTGCCACTGTCACGCTGTGTTAGTCCCACAATGGCCCCAGATATTTTATATGAAATTTGCCCTGGCCAGTGATTAGTGGGGACCAAGTTAAGTCATAGCAACAGAGAACTATGCATTGGCTGGACCCCGCTTGTCGGCAGACGGGGAAATCCCTATTCAAATGGTTTAATAAAACAATCTAAAGGGCGTGTGAATGGGGAAAAGCACTTTCTCTCCTGCTTAATCTCATGGTTGCGAAGATATTGTGCTCTGAGCAGTGCCCAGCAGGGAGTGGGGCTAAGGTCCCCCCATCAACTCCATTTACCACACCCCTTCTTTCTTTCTTGCCCAGAGTTAATGATATACTGGTGTGCTAGTTTCCCTCCCCCAGCATGCTGAGACATACGTCTCATGAGAAGCACAGACCTCTTAGCTCATCCTAAATAGTTACACTTTCTCATCCTCAGGTCATAGGTCGTAACCCACATCACCTGACCTTTTCCCAGTTAGTTTAGTTGAGACTTCATGATTTAGGTTAATTTATTAGGTGGATTTCCTTGTATACAGAATGCAGGCAAGGCAGAGGTACCTACAGGGAATGAAAGTTAGATAAGTTAGAGCTCCAACAGTATGAAACTTTGCAATACATTTCAAATGCTTTAAATATTACGTAATAGGAGTTTCCTGTAAACCTCACTTGAATTTAATGGTTTCAAGTAGAATAGTGATGGTGCATGTCTATACCTGTGTGGGTGGCAACATCTGCAAAATTGAGACTGTCCACTTTTTGTAGCAAAGTTGCCGTCACTAATTCTATCATGACTCATAAACTGGAGCCTGATTATACCCATATAGTTGGTAGGTGTTCTGTAAATACAAAGAATGCAGAAACAACTCTGGGATTGGCTCCACTGACTAACAACACCTGCAGAGCTTTCTATCACCTTTCATCACAGGCAGATTCCAGCAGTGCATGTTTTGACACTTTAGTTAATGTAAATTAATGAGTGCTGACGCAGACATAGCCTGCAGGTAGGGCTCGTGATTTGGGGTGTGGAGTGAGAGACAAGCGTAGAGAGAGAGAGAGGATCTGGCCACGTGGAAGGGAGAGAGGACAGGCACATACTTCTTAGTATGTGCTCATTTTAAAGACAGGAGTAACTTAAATCTTTCATGTTTTAGTGCTTGAGGTTGGGAATGGGTATGCGTGACAATGTACATTTAGATGGTAAAGTGTTTGTGTGTGGTCAAGTCAATGTATGATGACATTTAGCATGCGTATGTTTATGCATTTCTATTTGAAAGGAGGATGTGTCAGTGATCAAAGCATTTTTCCACAAGCAGAAACAGAAAAATGTCCCTTATTTTCTTTTAAACTACAGTCTCAACTCAATTCCCATAATGGCCTCCTCTCCTTAAAGGTCCATGTCTTTCATTCTTCTGGTATTTATCCAGCGCTTAATCCACCTATGTAGAACAAACTTTTAATGTCCTCAGTGAAGGTGAGGAGGACATGGACAGTGATGGGCTAACTGATAGGAACTAAGCCCCTGAAGCCTAAAGGCGCCTTCTCTTCCTTTCAGCTTTGGCCCCCAAAAAGGCAGGAGGAAACCGACACACAACAGTCTGAAACGCAGACAAACAGACACCAGTGAGGACAATGGCCCCGTTGCACAGACAAACACCGGCATCAATCAAATCCAATGAAATGGAAGCCCTCTCCTACTAAGCCCTATCAAAGGCCTGTGAGCCCCTGAGTCACTCTCATTGGCCTCTGACAAAGGCACTTAATCCAGCCACTTTGACCTCTCACATTATTAAGGGCCTCAGTGACCTTAATCCAATCAAAATGATTTACTAAAGCCCAGTAGCTGCCTCCTCTTTCCACTCAGTACCCCTGCAATTAAGGGCCTGGGAGGGGAGGCAATGGGAGAGATGTGGTGGCATTTTGCACCACAAAAGGGCTCGGATTGAGAACCCCTATCGTTAGCCACCTACTTGAGCTCAAGCCTCTTCTATCAACTGGCTCAGGAGTTTATTAAAAGCAATTGCCCTCACTAACCTCCAACCCTCTGTGTTTGCATCAATCTTCCGTAAACTAGGTGACAGGTTAAGATCCCTGAGCCTCAACTCCTCTTCATTCTCAATTTTGCAGCTTGTAACTCATTTTAGAGTTAGCAAGAAGCAACACAGATGACAAAAAGAAAGCACGAAAAATAACTTCCTGGGACACAAAATTATAAAACGTATCTGCTCTACTCCCTGGAGCCATTAAGGCAATACTTGGAAATGCACCCATGCACTTTCTTGCTGGGAGTTAGGTGAGAAGATTGATACCATGCACTGACATCTGTCCGTTAAATATGAAGCTACATCAGGCGGTTAGCTTAGCTTAGGAAAACAGCTAGCCTGGCTCTGTCGGAAGGTAACAAAATCTGCCTGCACAGGGGGGATTTCTGCAGCCTGATCCCGTAAGTAGACCAGAATTGACATATACTTAAAAGTCCTAATACATCAGCACAGCATCTAATGGGAAAAAAAATATCATGAAAAATTCTAAAACTCCATTTACACTCTTGTGTAAGGCTCTTCAGATGTGTAAAGCAATCACAGGGGATTCCCTCCTGAAGAAAACTCCAACAAGACAGAACTCACTCGTCTTAATTGTGTACATTATTTCATGCATGGAGGCTGCTCTTGTTCAGTCTCTATTTAAACAAGGATTTGTATGAGCACAATGAATGATGCACAAAGGGAGTGCAGCTTTTCTAATGCAAATATAAGACAGACATAATACAGAATTGTTAATAGAAGAGTTAATAAGCATTGAGGTACAATAACTCTTTTTTTTCAGGTGGTTTGAAGTACCAACTTCTAAGAAATTACCAGAAACATAATTTGGGACAGTAGGGTTAGACAGCATCACAAAAGTAAGTATTGTGGGTGGAATGTCACTTGCACTAAGACCATCTTTACATAGAATTAGATCTTACATGATGCAACTAGGCCTATTTATTTGTTGCTTTTTTAATTTGGAATAAATATGTTGCTGTTATGTTTGTCATATTTAATGGTCATCTAGATTCTTGACAGCCTCTTACTTTGATTATTGAACTCTGACCCGTTTATGGGCAAGTACCACTATTGCAAATGCTTCCAAGAAATTGGTTTTGTCTGACCTTTGAAAACCCCGGTTTTGGAAAAGGTGAACTCGGTTGATAGCTTTGTCTGTTAATCCCAAATGAACCAAGTAAACAGTGCCAAATGAAAACTCCAGGAATCTTTCAGGGGTGAGTTGAAACACGAATGTTGGAGACCTGTGTTTGAGGTACACCCACAGATTCTTTGCATGAAAAAAAACAGCATATGTGCAATCTGATGATGTTAAATAGAGCACACTACACATCTTTTTTATAATTCACATGAAAGTGATTGCTGTGTTTCATTACCTTTATCTAACACTGGCCCAAAAATGGCCAAATTGTCATTGACCGTGGTGCAGTTCCAGCGTCTCCCTCTGAACTGGTGCTGGCACTCCTGGATGCCAATCTTCACCCCCTCGGCCACACTGGGCATGATTTCCACATAGTTCCGGCAGAAACGCAGCTGTTTGGGCACCAGACCCGGGATGCTGCCACAGAGGATGGGTTGAGTGCCCAGTGATGAGTACTGGTGGCCCACTGCTAGTGACCTACAAGGAGATGGGAAGTCACAGTGTCAGTGCATTTTCATGATCTTTATCTATTGAGTCGACGTTTCTCAAGTGGAAGACTAATTTCCCTCTCCAGGTGCAGTGTAATTTTACGTCTGAGTTTGATTGTGTGTTTATTTGCTGTGTCAGATGCTACCATTAGGCGTCCATCCTTTATCCCTTCAACTACCCTCTGTGCAGACACCTGGCCTTTGTGTGTATTGAAATTGCAGCCCTGCTCCACAGAAGCAGGCAATGTTTCTGTCTAAGATGAAAGTCCACAATGCATCTAGAGGTCTTCATAGACTTTAAGCTGACAACTTGGAAAACTACACCTTGTTATTAACTGTCCGCACACTTAACAGGCCTTCGGCTTAGGGTAATAAGGGTGCAAACCCTACATTGAAACTTCAGAGAGTGTATTAAGTGTAACACAGAACAACCCCCCCCCCCCCCCCCCCTTCCTTTGAGGAAGGTATTCTGGGATACAACAAGTGCAAACTTGGTTCACTGATTACATCTCTCTGTCTCGTTCCCTTTATTGCTTTCTCTCTCTCTCTTTCTTTTCTGTTTCCTCTCAATTAGGACATTTAGTAGCTAGTAATCATAGAAATGGGATATCCATTGTATCATTGCATATATGTCATTTTGCCAATTTTAAGAAACATTTTGCTGCTCTGCACACGACAATCTGTTTGTGTTTCCACATCACAGAGAGCCTTATTGACTGATACTAAAGGTGGATAATTGGTTTGAGTTGCATGTTAATGTTCATTAAATTACACATATAAATATTGTGGCAGTATATATTAATTAATTTAGATAAACTAATAACCCGCTGACCTGAGCTGCTCAGTTTTTATTGAATTGTCACTAAAATCAATATTTTAATGACTTAATTATTATTAGCAGAGTTCCTATTATCTTTGGCAAGTGCTGCTCTGTCCAGACAAGTCTACATTTCACCTCAACGGTAATCTGCTGATCCTCCCCTGAGTGATGCAGGGTTGATAATAGTTACTGTAGCTGTTGCAGAAATGCAGAGCTAGAGCAGGTGTGCAGTCTTTTGCTGCTCAGTTAGCTCTCTATCTATTGACCCGTTCACTGTTGTTCAAGGACTAATTGCTGATCAACAAGATTACAAAACCTCCTGACACTGGCCTCAGGCTGCTTCCTTTAAAAGCTCACAGCTCAAGAAAAGATCTCCTCAGCCCACTGACCCTTGGCTGACCACTTCTGAAGGCAGCAGAACACGTTGACCTTGAATACTTCAATTGTAATTTTAAATTTAAAGGCCGATTTAACTCCATTCTCAATATCACAATGTATTGCTCTCGGTTTTCAAGGTGCGTGTAAGCCCTCCGCTGACAGGTGAGTAAACCACTGTTATTTCCCCCCAGCAAATGTCAGAGTTGTGCGTCACACTGGTTTTCTTCACAGAATTTCTCACCTAACTTCGACAGACCATACCGCCCTAGTTAATCATAAATGAGACATTCAGTAAGCGAGCAATGGCAAGTTGAAAATGACTCCAGAGGAAATCGTATTCGTCTGCAGTTTGTCTGCAACATCCATCAGTAAACAAGGACACAATTACACAATGACCTCTCTTTGGCCCTTGTCAGTCCAAACACCCTGAAGCACATCTTTCCCAGCAGAAACCTGAGTCCACATCCCAAACTGGTACAGACTTTTGGTTTGCCACTAACACGCACAACAAACGGACCTGAAACTCTAAGAAAAACGTGTACAACAATTCATCAGAGGTTCAACAATGTGAGACGTTTACCGAGACTGAATGGAGGTGAAAACAAGCCCTTCAGGCCTGCATTTTTTACAAGTAGTAGTCCACTGTCAGTCTGGCTTGAACCTCCTCTGCTTTCTTTTCATCTACAAGGAAACATGTTGTGTCTCTGAGGTTTCCCTGGTATTTTTTGCATTAGTGATAGAGCACCAAATGTATCTCAACAGCAGAAAAACTGTGCAGATTAAAGGTCATGTAGGAGTTTGCTCTTGACCAGAGTCTTCAGTGTTCCTTTTTACTCCTCAGGATTCATCTGTGAGGTTTTTTTTGTTGTTGCATGCAGCCGTGCCACACAAAACCATCATGACACATTGTGCTTCGATTGCTCCGCTCTTGTGTGTCTTTGCATCTGTCTCGGTTGTGCTGAGTAATGAGTAATCCATGCCACCTCTTCCTGTATTAGGAAATGGTCCAAGAGATGACACAGGGCATGTTCCATCAGGGATGATTTATTTAATGAACTGTGGTCAACAAGTGGATTCATTGATGTTGTTAAGGTTTATGTTGCCAAATGAACACTTCAGTGAAAACTGTTACAAATAAATACTTAAGTAAAGCATCTATCATATAAAATGTTTGTCTCAGTACAGACTTTCCCCCTCTCATCTAAGTGTATCCAGCACAGGTTTAATGCATATTTCAGCAAGCCCAAGCAGGGTTCCTTAGAATTACCACTTTACTTGTGGGCCCTGGGGCCTTGGAGCCGACTTTGACATCAAGAGAATATGTTTGGGAAAAGGAATGTGCGGCAAGCTTTCACCTCCAGGTATTTATCTTCTAAGGTGGGGTGGACTGGGGAAGGGGGTGGTGGGTGCAGCCAGGCTATGTCATGGCAGGTCGAGTAGAGACAGACGGGAACCTGTCTTAGTGCATATCCCTCTCCCCCAGAGACTACCGTGGCACAGAGGCTGAGTGTGATCCAGCTCCGATGGCCACTTGAAGCAAAGTACAGCAGAGTCTGTCAGCGAAACATCACAGGTTGCTTTTCACAGTAGCGAAAGCTCTTAGATAGCTGTCACGCTGTTTGAGAACAGAGAGACAATGCAGCCGTATTGAGCGCAATCTGAAAGGAACCACGTTATTTGACTTGGGATGAGTTGCTGTGATACAAAAAAACACATCAGAAGTCTTGAAATAAAGAAAAACTAAACTTAAGTATCACGTCAAGACTGACTTCATTACTTTAGATTCCTTGCATTGGTAGGAGTGATACAGCAAACTTGCTGCCGGTATTTATCTCCAAAAGCAAAAGAGTGGCAAGTAAACATAATTTACTTGCCACTCTTTTGCTTCTGTAGACTCTTCAATCAAAGACTTCACCCACCCTCCAGAATCAAACCATCAACACAGGAGTTAGTTCTTGACTTGCTGCAGTTTTGTCATGACAGAATGGAAACCTGCCTTCCATTGTGTCATTCATAACATGGGTCAAAGAAAAAAGAAAAAAAACAACTGTATGGAGATTGAAATTTAAGGGTTTTCTTTTTTTCCAGTGTGCATACGTGTGTCAATCAGCAGAGTTCAACATGGCACAGCACACTCTGGCATCGAAAAGAAAAAAAAGAAAAATGAAAAACATGCACATATCAAGTGATAAAACATAAAATTAGACTAAACATCAAGTTGGTAGAGCATCTGCTGTGCACTAACTTTTAGAACTTTACTGATTTGGGTTATTTTTTCCCCACCAACTGTTGTATCAGGATTTCCTTCCAGCTGTGCGTGTAATTAGTTTCTCATCAGTATTACCACCAGGAGCCCCATTAAGGGAAGAAGATTACACCCAAAATCTAAGCAAAACCATATATTGAACCTTTATTTTTAATTTTTTTTATAAAACACACATTAGTTGTTAGTTTGTTGCTATCAAGACATTTGGGATTGATGTGTGTAGCTGATGGATCAAGCATGGAAATTGTGCAACCAGACAAGAACTTCTAAAGAAGTTGAGACCGAATATTTATACAAAAAAATGTATTGTTAAAAAAAATAATGCCAATTAGTGACATTTGTCAGTTTCTTAAATATCGGGAATAATAAGGCTGCTGCACCGTTACTTAACAATCTCATCAGTGCATGTTCTGCAGTGACTCTGTGCTTCTGTTGTGTTTTAAAAAGAGAGAGCGAAAAAAAATGCAAGAAAGACATTTGGAAAGTGAAGAAACTGAGATATACCCTGCAGCAAATGCTGCTATATCACGCTTAAAACTGGTGAAATTGTTTAAAGCCTTCAGTTATGTTGTGTTAAAAGTGAAAGAATTTCCTCTCATCTGATAATACAATTTAAAGGATTGAACTTCAAATGTTGTGTTGTCATTATTAGCATAGATAACAAAGATTACATAAAGAATAGACCATGCATTAACAGTATGTGTTACATGATCAGTTTGTCCCAAGCATTGAGGTTAAACCTTGGGCAAGATTTCATATTTGTTCTCTGCCACTTTGACCCCATACACACACGCACACACACACACACACACACACACACACACACACACACACACACACATATACATACATACATACATACACCCACACACTTTGCACCTGCTGCACTCTGAATATAAAAACAAAATGCTCTCAGTCAAATTGCATCGTTCGTCCTGTAAATGTTGGTGTATTATAGCATTAAAAATAAACTTACAATTCATTTTTTTTATTCGTTATTAGTTGTGTTTTCTACAGAGCTGTTCTTTGCTTTAAATTTTCTAAATAGAAAAGCGTCATTTTCTCTCCTCATCATTTCACTCATGTCAAACGTCTTAAAACTACTTCATCACCGGAGCAGCTAAATGTCCAGCTGCTGTCAGAAACGAAATTAGAAGTATAACCACTCACAAACTGACGCACAAACAGATCATTAGATACAACACAAATATCACCATTCGTTCGGGGATGTAATGAAAATAAAAACTTACCACCAGATGGGATAACTTGCCATGACATGCGTAAGCCCACAGAGCAACAGGAAACATCCAAGGTATATCATCCTTAAAGTTTCGCTAAAACTTCTCCAGCAGAAAGCCTACATGCGCGCGCTCATGTGCGCACTGAGATTTTAACAGAAGATTTAGAAAAATAAAACAACGAATCCGCGCCAATGGATTTTTATTTCTGTGATCCAGAAACACTGAGGGATAATCTATCTTTCGCGACTACTCGTGGCAGAACTCGGGAGCCAAATATTAAAAGTTAAAAGCTGCTTGCTTTTTTTTTTTAGGACCCAATCAGCAGGTATTGCCAAAGGGGGAATTCTGATGATATGTTCCCTCTGTTGCCTAGTCAGGCAGCTTGAACTCAGACAACGGAATGAGCTAATTTTAAGATGTGTTTTAGTGCTCATTGAGAATTGGTCGCATTAGCATGCAGTGTGTGTGATATATAATGTTGTTTAAAGGAGAGAGGGAGGGTCTGAGGGGTTTTAAATAGACATCGGAACCCCTGTGGATTGCGTAGCTATAACAACCTGTCCGGATTTCACTCCCTGGCTTGAAGCTTCTAAAATGCAGAAATAAATATGTGTGAATTGCTTTAGACTATTATTAAGGTCCCCAGTCCTTTAGTCGTGCCTGTTTGCCATGAATGTAAAATTAGAAGTTGAGAAGTTTTTCCAACGGACTGGTGGATTCACAATTAACTGAATAAAACCAGACTGAATTAATAAACTGCTATTAGAAAGACATCCTCAGTAATTTGACCATATATCTATATTTTTTTATTCCTTAATGTATGTGATTAAATCTAAAATATTTGGATTGATGTCACTACAGTAATAAATTATGCTCTGAGATTGCAAAATGGCAAATAATCACTGATGTTAATGTTCTTGTCATTATATAAATTAGATGCGTCCTGAGGTGAAGGTAAAAAGGGCACATTCGGGTCATTAATTAAAGAACGTTTTTTTTTTTCCTCACATGGTATTTCCGGCACTGTTATAACTGTGATGTTCACATCTTGAGGAGCCTAACTTTAAAGATGACAGTGTAGGCCTATTCCAACAAATAAAATTGGCTGCACCACTGAGTTTAAATGGCAGACTGTCTGTTTCCCTTTCTCAGTGTCAAGTGGCTGTTGATAGCTGATCTGGTAGGAGGTGTCTCCGTTTACAGGCACTGATGCTCACTTGAAGATTAAACAAACTGTCCAAGTTGTGTAACATCAGTGAGTAATGGGCTGAACAAAAAGCCCATTTCTAAATTTAACCCAGTAACTAAATGAATCAGTTGTGGCCCTTTCTTGGAAACTGAACTGGATTTTTTTTGTCAGCTTGTGTTGTTGTCTAGTACACAATAATGATAAAAATAAAACAATAACAATAATAATAACTTCAATTCTAAACAATTTGATCAAATCAATGTTTCACTCAGACGTTTGTTTGTTTATTATTTTCTCTGGTTCAACTTTTCTATGAGCTTTTGAGTTAACGTTTACTTCACCTGTTAGAGCTAATTTGTACATCATCATTTAGATGGTTATACAACAGTTATTAAGTCAAACTCTCATTGTTCTGTAATTTCCAAAAAGTGTTCACATGCACAAGTCTTTGATGATTTGCCTCGAGGAGGCAAAACATGATACACACACACACACACACACACACACACCCTGAAGCCTAAAGATGTTAGTGCCATCCAGTGGAGTTTGTTGCCCATTGCAACCTTAACAAAGCCACGAAAACAGAGGCCTGCCACCTACAGTATATGTTCGGCTTTTTACATTCAGTCGTGGAAAGTAACTAAGTACATTACTCATGTAGCTACTGCAGAGGTTTAGTTTCAAAGTACTTGTTCTTTTGGGTATGTCCATTTTCTACTCAAGCTTCAACTTCACTGCATTTCATGGGGAAATATTTTACGTTTTGCTGGACGACATTTATCTGACAGCTATAGTCACTAGTTTGCAGATTTTACATAGAAAAGCTATGATCACTTTATAAAATATGACGCATTGTTGCAGACTACAAGAAGTAATTATGGCCTCTGATCAGCTACAGCAATAAAATGCATCTTACAGGTCTAAGCATAAATAATAATGTGATAATATGTAATAATACAACTTGGACAGGATATGCAGAATGCTTTGCATGAACACTTCACGTCACCACTGCCTACATCCACATGAATGGCTTCTGATTAATATTACGCTGATAAAGTTTTATAAGTCTAAAGAGTCTATTTTATTTAATAGTCTATTTCAGACATTGTCACTAAATGACCAAACTTAGAGTGAATGACTGGAGAGGTACAGAGAGTAGCCGGAGGGTTTCGGCAGCTGCAGAAGGGGGAAATCTGGAAGTTATAGAGCAGCTATATGAACCGGGCCTTTTCCCTCCCCAGTAGCTGTCAGCACTGGCACAGAGGCCAAGACTTCGAGGGTGTTAAATGCATGTGAAAAATGTGATGCCTGTTCAACTATGCCCACTGACTGTAGATCATTTAGTTCAACTAAAGATTTAATAAGTGCTAAAATCTGTGTAAAACATGTTCAACTTCTACATACCATACAGAAATCAATCAAATTATAGTTTTATATGAAGTGGTCACACAGTGAATACACCTTTCTAAAGCAATCTATTCATCAAGCTGTAGACTGGGTTATGTTCAGTTCATCTCCATCAACACGTTTCCCACCACGCTGTCTCTGCAGTCCATCCATCCAGGTTTCCCCCCCTGAGCAGACAGAAGGACATCATGGCACATCTGTGTGCCCATGGTGACTTCACCGCGATGATGATGTCATTTAGCAAAGTGCCGTTAGCAGCGAGTCTTGTCATTGCTCTGCATCACAGGCCTCAGTCAGACTCCCACTGTTTGACAGAAAACAGCTACACCAACATAGTGCAATACACAAACATTGAACTAATCACAGTTTCATTACTTCACTGACTTTTCCATGAATATTTTCCGTGTCATGATGGCGCTAATGCTTATTTGTGCATTTAAGTGTCCAAGATGCAACATGCAGAGAACATTTTGATTTAACTGCAGCTTCTGCACGTAACAAATTAAGGTTTTTGTTGTGTACAAATGTGACAGCACCACTAGATGTCAGCATTGTAATGGAATTACAATATCTATCGTCACGGTTGAATTTAAAAACAGAAAAAAATTCTCTATCTCAAGTTTGTTTGGATAGCACCTTTCAAACACAGAGGCAATTCAAAGTACTTTAATAAAGCAGGGACGTGCGTAAGAACACGATTTAAAAACAGGAACAATAAAATAAAACAAAATAGAAGACGAGACCAGAAATACACATAACACTGTACAATTATTCTTTCCTATTTATTCCCTGGGAAATGTGTATTCAGTATCAAGCGTAGTCAGCCTCACATTGAGGTCGACTTCTGTTCTGATTATTTAGAAAGGGACCTGGTGGATAAAAGTTTAACAGCTTTTGATGCTGCTTAGTTCAAGCAATCATGAAACAAATGCATGCTAAGGAAGTTGAAATATCTCAGATTATACTATCCAATCTAATTTACTCTGTTGTGCTGCTAAATGCTGTTTTTTTCTTAGTCTTCAAAAACTAACTCATATGTTCATTTAGAAACATAGAACAGATGACCAGCAGCAGACCAACTGACTCCTAATTCTGTTTGAGTTACAAGCCTTTCAAGGGAAAGGGAGGAGAGCTGTACCTCAATAAGTTGTGACACACCCCACAAGCTCACACCTGGAAATAACTCATCACTTTCCCTTGTACTTCTCCGTTGGTCTCCAGACATGGGAAGCAAAGCAAAGGGTCTGCCTGTCCTTTGACTTTATCTTCAGGATGGGCATTACCACAGGCGTTGATGTCCCTATCTCGCCTGCTCGCCTCTTGGTAATACAGGGTGTAAAAAGGCTTCTGCCTTCATAGTCACCAGATCTTCACCCAGCAGAGACAGGTTAGAAGATAATACACTTTCTGAAGAGCAACAGTTAAAGCTTGGATAGATTCTACTGATAAATATACAGAGTTGCAATATTGTAATCAGGATGTAGTGCATTGCAGAAAAAGAAGAATAAAAAGCAGTAAGCTAAATTGAGCCAACGGACTTCACATGATGATCAAAATGAAGCTTTGTCTGCCACCTTGAGATTTCTGCAACTTCTAACAATAGATTTAGAAAGATGAGATTGAAATAAGTAATGAAATCATTTGAACAAAAAGAGAGGTAGAATCGAGAATGATCTGTATTAAAAAAGGTTTGATGCTTTTGAAAATGACCTAAAGGTAGCATGTTGAAGGGAATAGTAAAGGTCCAAGGACTGATCCCTGTGGTACTCCATGAGTGTAACTGCGGATTTCTAGTCCCCTATAGCCACACAAAAATGTCCTTTCAATGAGATAGGACTACCAATCTAAAACAGTATCCAATATACAGTACTTAAGATGTTCAGTTAAAATCAAAAGGTCAACTGTAGCAATAAAACATCTGGCGGTTTTGTTTTAATCCTTTAATGTGTTGGAGTCACAGCTAATATCTGAGAATGAGAAGCAAATAGGTGCACCTGAAGGCCTAAAATCATTCTGTCTGGTTTCTCCTCAGTTGTGTTAGCACTGAGGTCACACATTAAGCAAGCTGGATGAAACTCCAGAGGCCAGAAAACATGAAGAGACAACGCCGCTTTAATTACAGGAACAGCCCCGTGTGTCATATCAGGGTGCAGTGTTTTCTTTCAACTGCTGAGAGAGAGAACTTGAGGCTCCATATCTCCACCTTGTCTTCGTCTCTTCTTCTTCTCTGGTCTTTTCCACACAGTGACACTTTCCTCTGGGTCATCCAAGGTTGCAATCAGCTGAGAGGGAGGCTGCACAGACTGCAGCTGCTCAGCTTGACTCTGTCTTGTTTCATTAACGCTAAGTAAAGCAGATCATACCATTCCATCAACACCACCTGCTGGTCAAGGGCATGACCCATTCACTATACGTCTACCATATCGTCTGTCTTCGTACAGCAACCTGTACTTTCCTGGCTCGAACTCTCTCCACATGTCACTACTTTTACTGTTGAGACTGTGTTGTGTC